TAGCGAGTCTATGTCTCGTAGTATGGGCGGAGGAACGTGGCGAGATACGATTCGCGAGTGTCACGGTCGCACATTGAGCGAAGGCATCTTTCTTTCCGCTGCCGTCAAACTGCTGTAAAATTGCCGCTTTCTGTACGCTAATTTATTGAGACAAAATAATTAATTTCTCAAAAACTATTGCAAATTTCGCAAAACGGCACAGGACTTTCTTGCGCACCTCAATCCGTTCTACGTTCTCACTAAGGGTCATCATGGGACTTCGGGACACCCTGTATATGATACCTATATACATGTATATGATACATATATACATGTATATGATACATAAATGCATGTTTATCTGATACATATCCAATTTTATGGGAATAGCAGAAGAAATACGTAACTGTATCGCTGACTGATATATATCGTTAACCCAGATAGCCATCTGTCTATGAAGTTGCCGTCAAATTGTTGAGAACCGTTGAAGCAACTGTTTTCGAAAAAGTAGGAACACGGTGCTTCTACATTATGTTCGTTGGATTGTGCTCACGTGTATTCTCCATGAGTCGACAGCAAGTTGACAGCAACATGACGACAACAATTGCTTAAATATGAATAATGTACATATGATGACATATTGTCATCACATATTCCAACGAACATAATGTAGAAGCACCTAATCATATTAAGAAATACTAAAAAATTATTAGTGATTAAGTATTACTAGTAATTCAATAATTTTTTGGCCAGTGCTTAATTTCTGGTGAATACTGATAATAAAATCACTGTTAAATATTAAGCAATCACATACTGAGAATTATTGTGCGAAGGTGAAAAATAAGATAAAATCATAATATTTAAAAAATATATTTATAATTCCTAATTTTCTCATATCTCATAAACCATTTAGGTATCGAAGATTGTCAACAATACACACTCCAAACTTTCGTGAATCCTCCCCTCAATAGTTTCGATCCGAAGCGGTATATCACCACCGGTCACCCATCCATGTCCTGACTCCGTTAAAGTGTTGCTTAAACCTAAAGATCGAGCAACAAGCGGCGATTCCCAGTGACAACGGTATTCTTACGATTTACGCTTATATAATATATCTTTATAGTGTTCATAATATGTTATAACATACCTAGCAAACAAATAATAGTCATATAACATATATAAGACTGAGTCCCATTTAGCGCGTTACGCGTCGTGTCGTCCGAGTTAAGCCAATCAAATCGTCTCATTTTATTCGGCGTAAAGTTATGCAATAAAATGGGACGATTTGATTGACTTAACTTGGACGACGCGATGCGTGACGCGCTAAGTGGAAACGCACCCTAAGATTGCCAAATAAAAAATTATTTTTTAAATTCGTGCAGTGTGTTTATTATTGACAAATTGTTGTAAATATATATAAATTACTTATCGTTCACACTTTGTCGGCAAAAACATGTAATTTAGAAACTTCAACGATTGAAAGCAAATACAAAGCAAATCGATGAAAAAAGTTTCATTTCTATTATTGTTGTCACGTTGCCATCAAAATGCTATTGACGCAAAAACAAGTCATCAGTTCTTGTCATGTTGCTATCATGTTGTTTGCAACCTTCCATACTATTGTTGCTGATCGTTTGCTTTTAAAATTTTATTAACTGATTACATATATTACCACTCATGTTGCTGAATTTGGTAGCACATCGCTTATGATGATGGCAACCAAATATCAACTATTCAGCAAAACATGCAATGCATTCGTTTGCTTGATATGCTAAATCACGCTTGGTTATCTGGAAATGTATACGTAGGGTTAGACAACCGTAAACTTTTAAATGTTTTACATTCGGTTTATTTCCTGTCCAAATTCTTTCCGGAATATCATTGATAAACGAATGTATGACTCTATTTTTTATGTAACACGCAGTTATTATTGCATCCACCCAAAATCTTTCGGATAATTCCGCATTTTTAAGCATCGTCCGTACTAAATCTAATAATGTCCTATTAATTCGCTCTGCCACTCCATTCATTTACAGTGTACGTTAATTCGTTCATGTTTTATATCCATATCATCAAACATTTTTTTAAGAGTTTTATTACTCTTAATATCCATTGTTCCTTCTAAATCTTTTCACTTTTCTATCTGTCTCTCTTTCTACCCTAGCTATGTATTTGCTTACATAATCAGTTACTTCGTCTTTATTCTGTAAACAATATAATGTTACTTTTCTGGAATAATCATCGGTGAATGTTAAAAAATATTTTAATCCGCCAACTGATTTTATCGGCATAGGGCCACATAAATCGGAATGTATTAGCTCTAATATATTTGTTTGTCTACTTACCAGGTCTGTAAATATGAAACCGGAATTTGCCCATAGATGGCCTTAGCTGTCAATGTAGTTATCGTCAAACGCGTCATTGGCGCCATTTCCTTGTTGACATCTCTGACAAAGATTTTCAACTCACAACAATACAAGTTTCATACAACAGCATAGTTTGTAATAGCGTTGAACATGTCGAATTTTGTGCCTGGGAACTACGATTTGCGGACAGCATTGATTTTCTGTTACCATTTGAAGAAAACTGCTGCAGAATCGCATCGAATGTTTGTCGAAGCTTACGTTGAGCATGCTCTTGTTAAATCACAGTGCTTTGAGTGGTTTAAAAAATTCAAAAGTGGCGATTTTGACGTGAGAAACGAAGAACGTGGAAGACCACCGAAAAAGTTTGAAGACAGCGAATTGCAAGCATTGTTGGATGAGGATAACACTCAAACGCAACAACAACTCGCAGATCAATTAAATGTGTCACGAGAAGCCGTCTCCATACGTTTGAAAGCCATGGGAAAGACCCAGAAGATGGAAAAATGGGTTCCACATTGTTGAGGTCTTCCGTCTTTTTCATATTCTCGCGCGCGATTACAGAGGGGGGGCGCGCGAACGTAGCATGTAGGCAAGCGAGCCGAGGGGAGTCAAGCGCGCTCTCTTCGCGCGTAACCACGCAGCTGGTCTGACCGTCCGTTTCCGAACATCTCTGTATAGACTATGGAAGCTTAAATATATTTCGCAGTTTATCCAAATTACACGGCTCCGGGTTATTTTTCGATACACCTACCCTGACAAACTACAAAAATTAATAAGTGGCGACGAGGATGGGATTCTCGGATGTACGGGAATACGCGAAAGTGAAGTGGTTCTTGAGCTAACCTGCAAGTGTCGTTCAAGAAAAGCACGTGGTGTTACAGCAGTTCGTTTCGAACGGGAAGAGGAAACGGCATTTAGGAATTGAACAAATCTCGAGCGAAATCAGAGAGACAATGGCGCAAACCGAACAAAGCAGTCAAATCGTCGTATAAAATGCTTTGCAGGTGGAATTTTACGATTCCAGTAAGAATTGGAAACGTTGGTTACAACGATTTGAGGGATCGTTCAAAGTATACAAAGTCCAGGCGGACGAACAAAAGGTCGCATACTTACTCCACTTTATCGGTACAACTGCATTTGAAACATTATGCGATCAATTAGAACCGGTGGATCCTTACACTAACAAGGAGAACCCGGCAGTCTCTGATCACCGATTTGATTAAAATTTTATGGGTGTGTAGTACGCACTCATACATTTACTCCTGTAAAGCCGTAGGACCCACTATTGAGGCATTCTCGAGAAATATTTTTTTAAATATTTCGAGAAAAATTTGTGTCCCTATAGTACCGTTACGGAAAAGCAATTTTCGAGCTAGCAGCGTAGCGTCAACGGTAAGACGTAGACTACTACGCTCGGGGTTGCAGGTTCCCTGATGATTTTTTTTTTATTTAAATGATTTTTTTTTAATTTAAATCTTATATATTTTTAAATTTGTATATAACACAATTTTAAACCTTTTTTAATTATTTTATATCAAATTTTTGAATAAGTAATTTGTATGTTAAATAAATATTTTTTTTAATCAAGGAATTTAAAAATGCTCATTATTAATTAATTATTATGTTTTAAATGTTTTTATGATAAATACCACCCTAAAAGCTGCAAACTTATTGTAAAACAGTAAATTGTACATTTTAACTTATTGTATAACAGTCGTTGTAAATTCTTATTGGAAATATATTTTTTGTGTGCATGAGAAATTTTAATTTAATTAATAATAAAT